TACGGTAACGTTCCTCCTTCGTTCCTCCTCGTTCCTCCTCGTTCCTCCTCGTTCCTCCTCGTTCCTCCTCTCCTTCCCTCTCTCTCGCCTCCCCTCCTCCTCTTCCTCCTCCTCCTCCTTTCACTCTCTCTGCTCTCTTTCCTCCCCACTGATGCTCGTGCCTCCTCCTCTCCTGCTACCTCATGCTTCAGCCTCATCATCGCTGTCCGCCCCTTCCCCTGGTACCCATAGGAGGAGATGGGATTCATGATGTGCTTGTTCCACCAGCAGAAGTGACTTATCCTGTGCTTGCCGCATTGCGCGCAAATCTTTCCGGTCGGCCCCATGTCCCAGTTGAGCGACTTGCACTGCCCTGTGCGATCGAAGTAGAAGGCGTACGGGTCGAGGCGGAGGAAGCGAACGAGCGAAAAGAGTTCAGAGACCCTGAGGAAAGGTGAGACTAGGAGGAGGAGGAAGGAGGAGGAGAAGGAGGGGGAGAAGGGAGGAGGACGAGGAGGACGAGGAGGAAGGAGAAGGAGGAGGAGGACGAGGAGGACGAGGAGGACGAGGAGGACGAGGAGGACGAGGACGAGGACGAGGAGGACGAGGACGAGGACGAGGAGGACGAGGACGAGGACGAGGACGAGGACGAGGACGAGGACGAGGAGAAGGACGAAGACGAGGAGGAAGAGGACGAGGACGAGGACGAGGACGAGGACGAGGACGAGGAGGAGGACGAGGACGAGGACGAGGACGAGGACGAGGACGAGGACGAGGACGAGGACGAGGACGAGGACGAGGACGAGGACGAGGAGGACGAGGAGGACGAGGAGGACGAGGAGGACGAGGAAGAAGAGGACGAGGAGGACGAGGATGAGGAGAGAGCGACGCACTTCAGTGACGGCTGAGAACGTCAGAGTCAAGTTGGGAAGGCTCCACAAGCAGCTGCGTAAGAGGGTCAGACGTCAGGCGTCTCACGGTTGCTGGTCCTCACAGCCGTTGGTCAGCTCCGACTGTCACCAACGACGAGCCGACGATGCACTGCAAGTTGGTCAAGAGGAGGAGGAGGAGGAGCAGCAGCAGCAGCAGCAGCAGGCGAAGGAGAGCGAAAGTAAGAGACCCAGCAAAAGGAGGAGGAAGAGGTGGAAAGCAAGGGTCACACCTGTCCTCGAATAGTCGACGCGTGCGCTCGCGGCACACAAGACACGCTCCTGCTCTCTTGCTCCCCTTGCTGGCCCGTCAGACCTCGCGGAGCCTCTCGTCCGCCTGCCTCTGCAAGCAGGAGGCGCTTGGGGATGGCAGTGACGGAGATTGACTGATCGTCGCCCGAGGACACGAGGTGGACCTCCTCTCCCTCCTCCAGCACGTCCAGACCATTGACGCCGCTCTGGTGGATCCTCTGCCGCCACACGGGCTTGACCTGCCTCATGGTCAGCTGGGCAGGAGGTGAAGGCTCAACCTCCAGCAGCTGCTCATCTCGCTCGCAGAACAAGTCTCCTCCTCCTCCTCCTGCCACGAGCTGGAGGGCAGCTGAGACATCCCAAAGAGCCACCTGAGAAGGAGCATGAGACAGCAACGCGCTTGACGCGTCCTCGCCTGTCCGTCGGTGGCGGAGGTGGCGAGGAAGAGCCGCCCGTGGAGCTCGAGCTTAGAAGAGGACAAGACAGCAGAGAGATGGTGAGAAAGCAGAGCGACGAGCCGCCAGTGACGCGACTTGATGTTGAAGAGAAACAGCCTGAGGTAGACGTATGCGGGTGAGTGAAGGGAGGAGAGGGAGAAGAATGAGAGGCAGAGAAGAGACGAGGAGGAGACCAGATGGAGTGTGAGGTTGGGAGAAGGAGATTGGAAAGAGAATGAGAGTGGGAGGAGGAGAGTTCAAGGAGCAGGAGGAGGAGAGCGAGGAGAGACGAGAGGAGGCGAAGCAACACCGGATGTGACCGTCATCGGCTGCTGCAGCTACGACAACAACTTCTTCGTTGGATCGCTCAAACTCCGACGGCAAGTCGAACGTCTCGATGCTCATGAAGCGGAGCATGCACTTCTTCCCGCTGCTCAGTCGCTGAGTGTTGAGCATGCGGAACTCAACCTTGTCCTCTTCCTCCGTCATCTGAAACACCTGGAGCAAGTCCTTTGCTCCCCCGGACACAAGAATCGTCCCGCTCCTCCTCGTCGACACTTTGGACATGCATCGCATCGCTGCTCCCAGCTGTTCGTGCCGGTCTCCCTCCAGCGTCTTCAGGCAGAGGAATGACGTCTGTTTCCCTTCTCTCGCTCCCGCGATCTGCGATGAGAAGGTCTGCAGCAGCTTCATGCTCCCGTCCTCGCTCGCTGTCAAAACGTGAAGTTCCTCGCCACGACCCGGCAGGAGCAGAACTTCATGCACTTCTCGCCCATGGAACCAGACGCCTCCCCTCCCCCCTCCTGTCTTCTTCTCCTCCACCTCCGGCCCCACAGGAAAGGCGACGTGTAGCCGCTGCTCGCGGACGAAGGCGAGGGAGAGGAGCGAGGGGTCGGCAGCGTAGACGCCTCCTCCTCCTCTGAAGCCGAACATGTATGGCCTGCGTGCTCCTCCACAGTCGAAGCTGAGGATTCTTGAGCGCTGATCCACGTTCCACACCACGAAGTGCATGTGCTGGAAGCCGAACAGGAGCAGCTCCTCCGACGAGCTCCACGCGATGCCCGCGATCAGCTCGAGCCCCGACCAGCCCTGGATCGCTCCCTCCTTCACCAGCCGCGCCGACCGCCCGTCCTCCCCCTCTACCGCCAACCGCCACATGCAGACGGCGCCGTCCCGCCCGGAGGTGTAGAGGAAGCCGTTGGGATGGCCGGTGATGGAGGTGATGGAGTTCGACTTGTGAGCCTTGTGGAGCTGGAAGAAAGGGTGCAGCACCTCCGTCCTTGCTCCTCCTCCTCCTCCTCCTCCTCCTCCTCCTCCTCCTTCCTGTGAAGCTCCTGGTGTCCTCGCTTCCTCCCACGACCTGTTGTCAGTCCCCGTGATGTCAATCATGGACAAGGTGCCCTTCCGGTCTCCACAGAGGAGAAGCACGAGGTCTCCGACCCTGGGGGAGATGTCAAACACAAGGAGGAGGAGAGATGAGTCTGTTCTACCTGTGCTCCAGCAGGCAAGTGATACGACAGCGGTTGTCGCATCGGATCACAGCAAGGAGGAGGATCGCTCCTGTCCTTGGGTCCACAGCCCATCGCCTTATCTCCCCTCCTCCCTCACTGTTGTCCCCCGTGTACGCCACCGTCTGCTCTCCACCCTCGCAAGTGCCGCTGCTACACATGTCAGAGCTGGAGGAGGCAGGCAGCGAGGGGGCAGAGGGGACGGCGAGAAGAGGAGGAGAGAGCAGGAGCTGGGGAGCGGAGGGAGAGAGGAGGATCCTTCACCGGAAGAAGACATTCATCACATGCCCCTGGTGAGCGCTGAAAGTGTAACCCGGGAAACTCCCGCACAGGCTGACGACTGAAATGCCTCCCCTGCAGTCGCCCCCGTCACTACCTCCCCGTCCCTCCAAGCGTTTCCTCACCGAGCGTCTCCTAGGATGGACACACGATCTCGCTCGTCGGCGCCTACTGACGTGTACTGACAGCTGCAAGCTCTCGTAAGTAGCAGCAGGACAGTCTACATACTCGCCTCCGATTCTTGTACTTGCAGCTCCAGTCTCCCCCCTTCCTCTGCAGCACCACCGCCCTCCCTTGGTTGGTCCCACACAAGACTTGCTCGCAGTCCCCCAAGAGAGCGCAGCACCGGATGAACTCTTCCCTCGGCCAGGGGGACGTGCAGGAGGCCACCTGAGAGACAGTTAGAAGATGTCAGATGACAAGACGTCACGACCTTGCAACCCTCGACAGATTCAGCGGCAAGAGCCGGAGGATCATCGACAGCAGCTGGAGCTGGAGCTGGAGCTGGAGCTGGAGCTGGAGCTGGAGCTGGGTTTTCGCTGTCTTCATCTTCGGGGTACTCAGGAACTTGCCACGTCTCGACATCCATGGGCAGCTCTACCTCAGCGTCATCATCTATGCCTCCTCCTCCTCCTCCTCCTCCTCCTCCTCCTCCTTCCTTGACATTGAATCCCCAGAACTTCACTGCGCCATCGTTCCCTCCGGTGGCGAATCTAACGGCCCCTGAAGCCGCATGGCAGATAGCAGCTCGCCAGACATGCTTGCCCTGGTGGCCTCGCAGCACGAGGGGGCTGGAGGACTTGCTAGGGTTCTCCTCATCAAAAGTGAAGACTCTTCCGCTCCCGTCCTCCCCTACTGATATGACGATACCCCTATGTACTTGGCAGTCCCAGATGCGAGCAGCATGCCCCCAGAACGTGGCAGATCGATGGAAGATCGGCCATGCCCCAGCCTCCCCCCTGGTCTGAAGCCAGAGGATGACACTCCTGTCTTCAGATGCAGACACGAGGGCAGCACCATCTTCCCTCCATCGCACGCTATGGATCACCCCTGTATGTCCTCTCAACCTCTGCTCCACAGGCGCGCTGTCTAGTCCAGCGAAGCCCCAGCACAGGATCTCTCGCGTGAACCCGGCGCAGGCTACCCGCAGATTGCCGAGGGTGCTTCCAGAGAAGTTGAGAGAGCAGAGGAGGGGCTGCTCCGAGCAGCGGACGGTCTGCTGCACCGACCTCGTCCTCACTTCGAGGATCTGAATGACGTTGTGGGCGAGGCCAACCGCCACAAGGCAGGACCGAGTTAAGTCCTCGATCGAGCTCTGACGTGACCTCTCCGCTTCATCAACCGTCAAGGTGTGCACATCCATGATCCAGTCATCCATCATCCAGTCCTTGCACACCACAAGTAACTCTGCATCCCCATCGGTCGCCTCCTTCGAGATCTTGGCTGATACTATCGATATCTTTTTCTCGCTGTGTACGACTGCCATGATTTGCGATCTGCCATCCACTTTCGAGGATACGCATCGCACACCATGGATTCGACCATTTTCAAAGCATCGGATCTCCCCGAAGATCTTTCGCGAGAGGCTCATGAAGCTCAAGTCTCTTCCCCTCCCCACTAGCAGAATTTCAGAAACCGGGCACCAGCATAGAGCAGTCACAGGCCCGAGAAAACCTTCCTTCACCAGCAGCTCTTGCTTTGCCTTGTCATCTTCTTCTTCTCGTGCTGCTCTGATAAGATCCTTGGGCTCCCCTGCTCCTCTTCCTCCTTCTCTTCCTCCTTCTCCCTCCCCCGACTTCGCACGTGAAGTCGCCATTCCTCTATTCCTCTGAGAGTATAAGTGGGGTGGTGATTCGTGACCAATCTGAACAAATAACCCCTTAAAGTTCAGAGGGTTTTGATAGATCTGAACAAATACCCCCTAAAAGTTCAGAGGTCCATCTCTCCGAATATGAACAAATATCCCTCATATGTTCC